GCGCTCCCTTTTACGCAGTGTTAACATTATTCAATTTTCAATACTTAACTAAATTTTGAACGAGATAAGGAATATTGCCTTATTATGTAAGCTCTACAGATCTTGGCAGAAATTTGGTTGCCAAAAAGTGAGATATGTAACAGCAAGTCTTCCACGACTTTTATGGAGCAACTTCATTCCATTTTCCCTGAACAACATTTAATTGCGCTCCGTTTCGTTTCGCCATTAATGATATATTTTGACCTTGTATTTTGTCCAGCTTTTATTTTTTAATTTTTGTAAGAACTTGAAAGAAGATTAGCTACAGAACATCAAATTTTTTTCTATGGGAAATCTAACTTTTATGCGTTCTCCCGGTTCCTATATTTATATTTGGGAAAGTTTTATTTTCTTTATGAAAAAATAAAATTATGAGAAGCTTGATTCCCGTACGACAAAAATTTACATAGATATTTAATTTCAAAATTTGATTTTTCTGATGTCATTTCAAAAGTGCCTTGGAGATTGGTTAATGTTTAAATGAAGTGCAGCAAAAAATGTATGTAATTTAATAGGCTGTACGAGGAAGTCTTGTGGTGTTCATATCAGAGATTTTAAATATATAATATGATGCTGTTTTGTTCGGTTTCTACTCAAGTAATAGTATAATGGTGTGGGCGCTATGCTAAATCAATTCACAATAATAAAAGAAGACTTTATTTTTTTATTACGAAGCTTAGTTTCTCTAGGTTGGCAACAAATCCACTATCCTGCTAAGTTTCAAATGTAAACAAATATGGCTGCTATGGTAAAAAAATTAGGCTTAGCCGCACTTAAACAACTTTTCAATTGTTGATAATTTTACAACTACTGCACGCAGGTTAATTAAAGGCATAAAAACCTTAACCGGAAGATAAGAACAACATAATTCAATTATTTTTAAAGCAAAAAAATGCACAATTTACCAACATATAAAAAACCAAAAACTGAGCTCACGGAGCCGAGTAAACAAAGTGGATATATATTATATATATATATCTTTATATACTTCAACCACCAGAAAATTTTTAACCAGATTACAGAATTTAGGTAATTAAACGACCATATCTCAAAATCTATTTCATTTATCTTAATGAAAATAATCTTAAATGAAAGGTTTAATTTTTCAGCTTTTAGTTAACAGTCAATGTTTCAAGTATAAATAATCATATTGAGTAATTTTAAACCTCAATATTACATAGTAATTCGACCAATTGCCCATAGTTTCATTAGCGTAGCTCGGAAAATTAAGTGAGAAATAGCTTTAAACATAACTTACAAAAACTCGAATTAGTAGAAGGAATCAATTAATACTTTGATTAAATAAAATACGCGTTGTGTAATATAATTTGGAATAATTGCTAAATGAATTTTGAATAAAACGTTAATAAAGTTAAAAATTAATTCACTAGACTTAAATTGACTAAACAACAATACACACGTACGTACGTACAAAAAGACGCCATGCAAAAATCTCTTCTTAATTCATTTTAAATCTGTTTTATTATTCGTTTGGGGGGAAAACAAAAAGAGTCCTTTGTTCATATCCAAGCAAAGTCAGCGTTAAATTGCATTCGAAAGCGGTCAAAATGGATATTTTGGTTGAAATATGGTACCCGGAATTTTTCTGATTACAATACTTCCTTACATCAAGTATGAATAAAAGTTAATCAGAACTGTCTCTTCAAATCTTTGAATAAGATTTATATCATTCTCTAAATTAATAGTTCCATTTGTATATTTTCTGACGTTATTCAGGTCCAGTTTTAATAGCAATGAAAAAAATTTTAAGTCGGACTCCAAATCATTTAATTCCTTAAATCCACTTTCAAATTCTTGCCATAATAATACAATTTTTCCTTCCTTTTGAGATTTTTCATTTGGAATAAAAGGATGGGATATAAAACAGAGAATATGCGAATTTTTTTATTTCAGTTGTTTTCCATATTTGTAATTCAACTTAAATTAGTCGCTTAGTAAGTTAAACCGCAAATATAGGAAACATATTTGCATCATTATCAAACTGAAAAGTTTAATGGCTTAGAGGGTTTGTTTAGAAAATAGTAGGAGTGAAGTTTTGACTCATAGATTTTCAAAATATGCCCCTTCTGCATCAACACAGCATTTCCAGCGACTTTGCCGATCATTGAAGGCTCCCTGGAATGCTCTTCAACTGCTTCGTTAAAGCAATTGAACAGAGCCGTCTTTTCATGACCATTTTCAGTCGGAGTAAGAAGAAGTCTCAAGGAGTGACCTCTTAGCTGTACTTGTACAGATTCAGAAAATGAGTCGCCTGCGTCCGTTCAGCAATCGCTGAATCAAGGACGCTCCAACACGACAATGTGCTAAGCCACACCGACTTTGCTGTCATGGACTTCTTGACCAAACATGGCATCACCACTCTACAGCCCAAACTTCTTCCTCTTCCCCTCCCCCCCCCCCGACTGAAAAAGGGTCATGGAAAGGAGACAGCACCAAGATTCGGTCAAGAGGCCGTAACGAGGGAGCTGAAGTGCATTCCAGTTTCCAAGTTCCAGGGAGCTTTGAGTGATTAGCAGAACCACTAGAAACGCTGGGTTGATGGAGAAAGGTCATATTTTAAAAACTAATTAAGTGAATAGTCAACTAACTGTGTCAAAATTGTGAATAATTTTAAAAAAAAAAATTCAGTCCTACTACTTTCCGAATAAATCCTGCATTTGTCAAATTAAAAAGTTTATTAGTTAAGGCAAAAAGACTCATTATCAAACTAAAAAGTTTAATAGAAGCATGCATACATGTCAGTGATAAGTTTATCCTTTCCTTGCAGCTCTTTATAGAGAATACTTACATGGCCGTTCTAATCAACAAGAAATGCTAAATCTTAGGGGTGTAAGATAGCAGACCTCCTCCTGGTGAAATCTGCTACAGCTTCTGACGAGCTCTCCAAAATGGTTAATTTATGCAGTGCTTATGCTAAAAAGTCCTAAGGCTTGCCTCCGTGCTCATCTTTTTCGTTTTAACATTGTTCACTAGGTAACACACATTGTAACATTGTAACATCTTCACTAGGTAACACACATTGTAACATTTTCACTAGGTAAAAAAAGTACCACAAACATAGGCATTGTTGAATGTACTGGTGAATACATGCAAAATTGCAAGCTGATTGTGTCTGCACAATATTCTTCGAGGAATCCTACATTGTTCTACAAGATGCAAATTTTTGTTCCAGTTACTGAAGCAGTTTCAGATATCTGCAGGTAACAATTCATCCCAATCGATTTTATTTCTCCAAGCTTCCTCTAAAAATAATTCAGGCAGTAACAATGTGGAGCAACTCAATTCAATAGGATTGTAGATACTATTTAACACTGAAAGTAAATTGTGCTTAGTAATAACATCAGATTCAAAAGATTCTTCAGGAAATAATACAAAAAGAAGTAATTTCGGTTATTCCACTTCATCCCAATAGCATCTGATCTTGCTTCTCACTTGCATTAGAATCCAAGTATTGGAGCTCAAACCGCTCTTCAGTCATTACATCTTTCACTTGAAACACAGATTGTGCAACTCTTCAGTGCTATTCCCACTCATAAAAAATTATCTATGTAGAAACTTTCTTTTAGTTTTTTGGATTGTTTCCTGAAACTCATCACCTGAATCACTATCGTTTTGATATCTTTCCATATTCAGGTGATGTCTTATGGCAGCATTTAAAAGGAAAAGACGGTGCAATTCCAAATATCACATGACAATGTCAGTAAAATTCAATTTGTTGTTGTTACCTGTCTGACAAAAGTCAGCACAAACCCACACCATTCACTGTGGCATCAAAGGTGCCTGTCATTAGCAAGAGCACTATATAGGTGACAGCTGGACTTTAGCACAGTACTCCCCTCCCCCAGTTTTGAAAAAGAACACCTCTGGGGAATGGATCCTAGATACTCCCTCCACTTGTCCCATACCACCAACCTCTCGAGAGGACTTTTGGCTCTACAAATATTCAGAGTGTTCCTCATGATACATAGACACTAATATTTAAAAACATCCATGTCTTCTCTAGGATTCAAACCTGGGCCCTTAGATATGGAAGTCAGCATCGCTAACTACTATCCCGATTAGTATTTTCTCACATCTTTCATCCTCCCATCATAAAAATTTTAAGACATCTTGATGTTTTGGATTTACGTTTAGTTATAGAAAGCCTTGCTGGATATCTGCCATACCACCTAATAACCTAAATCAAAATTTTAATAGAATTGGAAATATTTGTTGAGACAAGATTAGTTCCTTACTTAAGCATTAATTTAAGGATGTAGAACCTCAATGACATAAAACATTTTCATTACTCCCAAGCATACCACCCTCTACATTTGGACACAGAACCTTGATTCGGCTATGTCACAGTTATTTACAAGAGCAGGATGCCCAACTAACCATGGAAATGTTACTTCCTATCTTTGATCTTGATTGATTTGAATGGTTTCTTGAAAACGAACTAGTATTTTTTTGTCCTTTCATCCTAGATATTAGCAGACTTTCCTGTGATGGTACCTTTTAACTCTCAGTGTCCCAAAATTTTAACACTTTGAAATTCTGAAGACTGTCACTAGATTAATAACAGCCCTTTTCTTGTGTGTTCGTAATGTATACCATCCTAATTTTGTTTCAACTCCCGAAATTCCAGATTTCACAATTTCTATTCTCCTTGAAAAACTTACTTTCTATATACATCTTGTATGTAGTAAAATTTCTGTGATACAGAAATAACATCTCCTGCTGCGCAGGTAACTTAAATATTTAGTGTAATACAATAATAAAACGATATGCAAAATTATCAGTATCATGGAATATTAATTTGGCATCATCAATGTCTAAGTGGCACCTGTCCCATTTTCTTTATATACAAGCATATTAATCCTGCTCTTAAGTTCAAAATCAGTCTATAAATAGTTTAATGGCAAATATTGTAAATGCATTTTGTGAACAAGAACACAAAGTAGACAGCAAAAATGTTAGTTTTATTTTATTTAATTATGAATAAACATCATTAAATTAAAGGTGACTAGGCATATTTCAAGTATAACATGAGTTCATCTAAAAAGAACAGTTTTGGATGCTCGAGGCATATTATTACAAAGGTAAAAATACCCAAAAATAAGTATCAAAAGATTATCTACTGTACATGACTGCATGAGCAATCTGAGATAAAAAATCATAAAATGCACATTGGCTGAGAAAGTGTTGATACTTGTTTCTCTTTTCAAGTTTCACGAAGTAATCAATAAGTAATTATAGAATAAAAGTATACATATAGAAGTATAAAAGAATATAAATGAGCACTTTTTGTAAGTTTTCATATTAGTTTTAATTCTTTCAAAATAACTTGTGCAATATATGACATTAATGAAGAAAAATTTTATATACTAATTTATAATTGAACACACTAATCAGAAAAATCTATAAATGCTTAAATATAGTATTTTGGAGCTTTGAGTATTTCTTTATACAAATAACATGAGATTCACAAATGATGAAAAAAATCACAAACTTTACACACAACATAATTTTCAAGCAATTTAAAAATGCAAATAATACTATTTAATGCATCAAAATAATTTTTTTTAATAATTTTAAAAAAAGATTAAATACACTTATAACATTACAACATACCAAAGTTGAGCTCACACCATTCTTCAAATATGATCTTTGATAAAACAAAAATACAAATTTATAACTTTACCTAATATGTAGTATTTTGATGAATTAATGCATAAAATAATTTTTTAAAATAATTTTTAAAAAACATTAAATACACTTATAACATTACAAAATACCAAAGTTGAGCTCACATCATTCATCAAACATGATCTTTAATAAAAAAAAATACAAATTTAATAACTTTACCTCTTACATGAAAAATTAAATTTAAAAAAATCCATCTTAAAACTAACCACCATATTTTTTAAATATTGTATCTTTTCTTTTGCAATAAGAACAAAATATAAAATTATAATTAGTAACTCAAAATACATAACTTCTTTTACGTTAAATTTGAATCAAGCATGTTCACAAACATAAGCAAATTAAAATAATGTAAAAATTAAAATCCATAACAATATGTAATATATTAAAAAAGATGCATAACATAAAAAAAGATACATACAGTTTCAAAATTTGGAGACTTCAACAACTTTAAAAAATTAGCGAACTGCATACTAGTATTTATGACTTTACCATGAAATTAAAGATCCATTTCACTATCAAATCATATAGAATTAATTTATTTTGATTTTATTACCGTCAGCAAATATTTCTCAAGTGATGCAAATATCTGCTTTGAGTTATGATGTTGCCTCTTTTTATTATAAATATTATAATGCAAGTAAACTTGGGTTGAAAAAATTAGCTTAAAATATAATTACAATAAAAGTATGTAATATACATTTTATGATTCACAAAAGGGAAGTAAAACATATTTGCATTTATAAAAATGCAAATATATATTTTGTAATCTTCTTTAAACAGCTGATCCTTGAACTACGCAGGAGTTAAGGGCACCAATTTACATCAATTGCAAATTCGTGTATATATTTTTTAACCTTTCCAAGAACTTAACATCGCCTCTGACTATCTGAATATGAAATGTAGATTAAACAAACATTTTACATGTCAATGTATAGGTAGTATTCTTATCTCATACACACACACACACACACACAAAAAAAAAAAAAAAAAAAAAAACTTGTATTTTTCAATTAACACAGCAACAATTACCTTTGTGTGTCATATGTAATTTATTTCTCTCATCATGAGTTATTATATTATGTCAACATCATTACAAATAAACAGAGAGAATGAGCATAAGTAATTTTCTTTTTGCGCTGTTGACCTCCTACCCCTTTATTCATCTTTTATGACAAGACACAGATTACAAGATTTGGCTGTTATCAATTGACTATGAGTTCATGATTAAATTTGTCCAAGCCAAAGACTTCATCCATACAAGAAGACCTCTTTGTGAAAATCATAAAAGAAATGCTACCAGGGTAACAGATTGGAGGTGCAACAAAAAAAATCACACCATAAAAGAAAAAAAAAGAGCAAATGCTAGTTCAAAAGTTTGCCTTTTCTGGTAATGATTCCAATTGTTTCTAATACCAAGCATTCACACTGGTAGAATTTTGTTAAATAAAATTAGGAATGAATTCTAGGAAACCTGCCAACTGGAATAATTACATGCTCTCTTATATTTTAATTTTTATATTTGTCTTTGTATTTATCTTTGTATTTTATGTTTATTTTATATTTAATAATGCAGCCTTCCCCCCTTCCATAAGCTGCATATGCCATTAGGTTCTACAGCTAGATTTTGTCCTAGCATTTATGTTTGGTGCTATGTGGTACCCTATTAACTGAAAAGTAATACATAACAAAAAAAATTTCAAATAAAAAAATATGAAAAAAATTAGTTTTCTTAGTTAGTAAGTTAGTAAAATTAGTTAGTAAGTCATGCACTGATATGGACTGATAAAACACATGAAATGTGATTGCCTTATAATAATGGAATTGATAAGCCTTGCCTATATACTAATGGTTCATCAGAGTTATAAAAATTTTATGGCAGATAATAATACGAGTCCTGAAACATTTTTGCATAAAAAACAGATGCAATATTTATCAACCTTTCGACTTTCTTCAGCACTGCCCTTTTAGAGGCAAATCCAGATTACCTTAAGATTCTTCATACAGCACTTTTTTGCTTAGTGTATTTTTACAATATCCAAAGACCTCTGGAGATCATGTTGATTACAGTATTCAGATATTAGATAAATGAAAGAAATCAATGACGATAAGTACAGAAATGACCAGAGATAGCTATATCACTTAATCTTACCATAACACTAACAACAGAACCTGGCTTCAAAATGATTACAATAGTAACTGCAGCACAATTACGTACGTACTGCAGGTAATTTTATAAGATATGATTTTATGCAATGTGCATCTTCATATTCATTCACATTTCTTTCAAAATAAATGGCATCGTATGAAATCCAATTGTTTGGGAACTATCTTAAAACTTTTTTCTTGATATCTGTATTTAGCATAATAAAGAATAAAATAGTCTAGTTTATTGATGACATACTTATTTTTTCTTAACTATCTTGATCTAGCATTTAAATTGTGGTAAAATTCTGAAATATTTTTTTAATACCTTACCAAACAAAATTATTTACAATTGTGCCCATGCATTAAACCTGCGTATTTCAAAGGAAAACTAATTTAAACTTCTGAAATTCCAGCTTTCAAAAAACTTTAGATATACAAATTTTGCAAAATAATAAGAGGAAGATTAAAATCAATTTTAAATTTCTCACCCAAATTTTAACTATACCCACAATTTTTTCTGCCTAAAGGGATATCATAAATACAAACATAAAAAATAAACTTCTGAAATGTAAATATTCAGATATGTTTTAAATAAATAGCATGAATTTTGCTATCATTATTGGCATCATATTCATAAAAAACATTAGTCGCTAATGGTGAATATTAATGATATCTGGACAGCATGATCACTAGTACAATGTATACAGCTATGACTTGTAAAAATATAATAAATACTCTAGCAAAACAGTATTTTGCTTAATTAATAAAAATTCTTTTTTTTTTTTTTTTTTTTTTTTTTTTCTTTCTTCTTACTTTTTAGTGCTCAGAAAGGAATAATTTTGAACATTTCTGGACAAAAGAGCCCTCACACTGATAAGAAACTGTAGAAAAATGAAATGTAAAATGATGTATAGTGAATAATACATAATAATGAACAGCACCAGTAGATTTGTGATAGGGACACCTTATACAATAGTGCATGATATACATGACACGTTTTTATAAATATTTCAAGCACTACATTGGCCAACTATTTTTATGAAAGATATTTACAATATAAGAAGCTTTAACGACATACAAAAAATAAAAATCATACTGAAAGCATATCTGACTTGATATATATATATATATATAATTTGTATTGTTAGAGCAATGATACAAAAGTCTATATGAAGGTGTCAATAAAGTTCATGTTAAAAGTTTATAACTGTGCAGAACATATTTTCCTTTTCACCATAGTTCATATATAATAATATAACAACAGATTTTATATATATATATATATAATGTGAAAATTCAAATGAATCTTGTAATAACTTTCCCTTTGAGATTGACAAAAGCATTAAATTTTATTTTTATGAGAAATTTAATAATAAATATGTAATAGCACAGACAAATTATCTCAGCACAGACAAAACATTCCATTCAGTCCCTTAAAACATACATATATATAATTTGTGATCAGTGAATTTTAAAAATACAACTGATTGGGGAAAAATTCATTTGAAAGCTGATTTTCCAGTTTTAAATATGCATTTAGAGAAACATCTTTTTCATACAGACTATATTTATAATGGCAGCTAATCCAAACTTCTTTGTTAGAAGCATTTATTTTAAATAAACCTAATTATCTAATAAAAATTTTAACAAAATATAAAATTTAACTGATATTATAACAGAAACTGGTACAGTTATGGCCACATTTACACAAAGTGTGTTAATTTATACCCATGCTTATATATAGCCTCCTTCTATGTAACAACGATCCATTGTGACAATGGACACTCGGAAAACAGCATTTCGAATGCTCTAAATATTATGGCACAGCAGTGAGTTTCAACATCAATGCAATAAATGACTTGCAAGAAAGATGTATACTTATTAATGGCATTTTAAAAAGGATTATTCTTTCCCAAAAATAAATTCTAACAACATACAACTTATTTGACTCAACAATGTTTTATTGATGCATCACAAAAAAAGATAAGAGAAATTAAAGTAATTCACTGTTAAATAATTACAGTTGCACATTTTCACTTCATTAAAAACCTTTTTAATGCAAAGAAAAGACATAGCAATTACCCATTTAAAATGCAAGAGGAACTGAATAATAGAAAAAAAATTGTGAACAAAAGCAAAACTGAGCTTTACAGATGCAACAGGGAATGCCAATGTTCTACAGCACCATTTTTGTAACAACACAATGAAATATTGTGGAAGTAAAAAGCTTCATTTCTATTAACATAATATAAAATAGTTATTTGTTTCACTTACATAAAATTAAAAAGTCACATATTTTGTTTTATATTTCTGCATTATTTACCAAAAGAAACTGGAGAGCTAAGGAAGTTTGATATTTAATGCAAATTATGCATTCCATCAACTTTTAAATTCCATATAAATAATGAATTCCCCTTCTTTACATTTTTAAAAAACAATTATTACAAGAAAATTCACATTAATTTAAATGTAATACTTATGAAGTGCACTAAAATTTTCTATATGGAATCACAGATACACAAACACCATTTGACTGTTTATTAATTCATACATAAATAATGCAAAGAAATATTTTTGATTTAAACTAAAAAGATATAAAAATATCTTTGAAAGAAGGGATATATTTCATTAAAGTACTTGGAATAAAGTTTTGAGAGCCAGTGCAAACACTTATACAAAAAGTGAGAAAATTTTTTCAATACTCAAATCTTTTTCCATTCAAGAAGTTTATATCTTCTATCTATATATATATAAGTGTATACTATCTCAAAGGTAATATAAACCTTCAAAAATGATGCAGATTACATATCAGAAAAATTTCAGATTCTGATAAAGATGAAATCATTAATTCTAAAACGAGAAATTCATAACAAAATTAAATTGAAACCTTAGTTCTGATTTTTTACAGCAAAATTGTGAAGTTACTTATTTTGTTTTGAAATTTATAAAAGGGATTAAGAGAGCATGATTATAATATATTACTATAAGTTTTTATCATATAATAAGTTTATGATAAAAACTTATAGTAATATATTATAATCATGCTCTCATTTATATATAATAAGTTTTTATCAGAAGTATACTGAAGGTAATGGCATCCCTGATGCAGTAATATGTTATGGAAAGCACAAATTTAAACAGTCATTTTAATTCAGCACAAATCATAATACATCTACCATCTCTTAATTAACCTACAAAATGCTCATTCAAAAAATTTCTCTTGCAATCATATATGAAAAAAAGTGAACGGAGGAACTGCATTCAAATGAAATACAGTTTTTGCAGTTCCAAACTTCAATAAAATATGAAAGAAGATAAATTATGACTAAGTTCAGGTACAACTTGTAAATACTCAAATAAATCCAAGCAACCAAAATAAACAAAATTTTGAAAGCAATATTTTGAGAAATGTATATTATTAATCAAGGAATATAAATGAAGAATTCTATCTATTTTCAATTATACATAAAAATGGCGATATGAATAAAAACCTCAATATATTTTCTGAATAATCACGGTTGATTTGGTTTTGTTCATAATGCATTACTTTTATTCTGCAGTGCTTTTAATAAATAATAAATGCACCATCATATTACGTACTAAAGAGTTGCTTTTATTTTTTATATAATTCCAAGCACAGCATAAACTATATATTAAGATTCAAAACTCTGCTTCAAAGTTTAAACTATATGTATCCTTACTTTAACAACAAAACAAAATTTTTCCTTTTCGGGGGGGCTGCAGAAAATATTGCTATTAATTTCATATAAGTAAAATATTATAAGCTGTAAGCAAAATAATCTTGTGAAATAAAGAAAAAATAAACATTACAATGCACAATTAAAAATATCAAGGCAATATTATAAAATAAAATCTCCTTAAATTACCTATCATTACAAAATTGAAAAATAAGATAACTACATATCCATTACATACCTATAATTGCTATTTCACAAATATATATTCCAAAACATAAAATGCAAAATTTGTTTTACATAATTATAACAGATCTTATAATGCACAAAAATTGAAGCTGGTCATATAATTAACCCTCATAAATGCATAAATAATTGCAATAAATTGAAATCATGATAAATTAATTTATAACTGCATAAAATAATTGCAAATATTAAAAAAAAATATATGTAAGTAAACAAAAGAAATCAATTACAAAAGTAATTATTTCAAAGCAATAGTGTTAACTTAATCTTAGTAATTAAAAACCACACATGTGCAAGTTTTAGAGATCAAGACATTAAAACACAGTACAAGAACACATAAAAAATAATCCACAGCAGACAAAATACGAAAACTGAATTCATTGTTGATGCATCAGTGTGCCTTGGGCTGAAAAAAGTGCAAAAAGCACTTTAAAGGAAATTTCTTAGAAAAAGTAAACATAAATTTGGAAATCGATTTGCTAGGTGAAATACATCTTTTAACATAAATAATATTAAAATGAATATTATAGGAACTTCGTGAAAACTTTGGGATTTAATAAAACAATAATTCTTCAAAAATAAAGCATCTAAACAAATAAAATTAATATAAATTTCCATTATCTAAATCATAAACAGTCTGGGAAAACTGGAAAAAAAAATCTTTGGCAGCTTAAATTTATCATTGCTCATGTCACACTTCCCTCAGCCCTCAAATTAAATGCATTTCACGATGTTTCAAAATATAAAATATATTAGGCTGAACATGAGATGACTCATTACCTTGTGAATTTGCTTTTCAACATATGCAATGTAATTTCATATTTATATATTCTATAGTTTATATATAACATGAAGGCTACACAAGCTTGCATTTCCTTTGTTGCCTTTTTTGTGGTTCTGGACGTAATACAGCTCTGACAGCTTCATCAAAAACCTATATACAAATACAAAATAATTTTTTAAGAAAGTAATGTGGATTTCAATTCACTACACACATTATCAAGGATGATATATTATTCTAAATAATTGAATCCCAATAGAATAGCTATGCAAAAGGAGCTATTCTATTCTATTAGATATCTAATATTACTTGAATCAAATGTTTCCACTTACAAAGATAAATTATCTTGAAGTGAAAATTTCATATTTGGATACAAACTGCTATCAGAGTAACAACAAGAAAGTATGGAAACCTGAATTAAATTTATATGTCAGCAAAGCACTATGAAAACGTTAAGGCCTGCGTCCAGGGAAAATATTTTAGAAACTACCTTATACAGAAAGAAACACAGTAAATGATCTTTAAAAAGCAGGTGAAGAAACATTTAAAAATATCATGATTTGAAATCTGACCAAAACAATTTGATTGCAAGAAAATTATCAGCAGCATTCTTTCTATTTTAGAATTTCATAAAATAAATTTTTTCACTTATCTTTCTTTGGGCAGAGATGCATTATTAGAATAATAATGAACAGATGAGCAAACTTTCATTTTTATTGAATTCTCGTGGCTTTCATATACTAATTACATATTTTAGTAAAATCAAATAAGTTACTGTCTGCTATACAGATGACATAGCGCAAGTAAGATCTGATCCAATTGCATTATTTTAAAAAACCCGTCTTGTTAGTGCTCTGCTTTTGCTTTATTTATTTTTCACATTTATGTATATTAAGCACAGATGCCATTATAACAGCAGCCGAAAATTAATACTAAGATTTCAGAGAAATGCATAATAAAAGGTACTTGTAAGTATTTTTATCGATATTTATTGATGAAAGTGTTTAATTCCGCTCAAAAGAAGACATTTATAAAAACTTATGTAGTTACAATTAAAATGCCTATTACTGAAAATAATTTTGCAATATAACAAAATTTTCAAAAATTAAGTTTAAAATATTAAATTTTAATGTGTTTATAAATATCAGGTTTAAGCAAAAGTTTCCCACCACTGCAAATATCGTCTCCGCAAAAAGTTTGTACTGATGTGTTTAATTATATTTTGTCAATTTTGGGCATTTGAAAGAAAAAGACTTGCTTTAGAATACTGTACTGTGAAATTTGTAAAAAAAAAAAAATATCATTAGCATTAAGTACAAGGTGCCTGAAATGGAACTATCATGCTACTAGATTACAACTATCATTTACTTCCAGTTCTGTTGCAAAAAAAAAGTCAGCTACAGAATGTCACCAAATCATGTGTACAGCTTTATTGTTCTAATGTTCTAATGTTGTATCATATGATACTGTCACGGTTTGGTACCGAAAGTTAACAAAGACATTCAAGAAGCTGAGCGCTCTGGCCATCCTACAGATATAGATGGGACCCACCTAAGAGAGCTTGCTAAAGATTTAGATGTTTATACCATGTCCTTTAGTCGCACTATGCATTGCATAAACTTTAAGTTCAATCACTGTGTGCTGCATAAGCTGACTCAAGCAAATAAAGACAGACGAGTTCGGGTCTGTACTAATCTGCTTGAATATCAACACAAGGAAAAAATTCTGGACTGAATTGTCACTTGAGATGAAAAGTAGATTTACTTCAACAATACAGGCTGAAAAGGGGGTTGGTCTGCACAGACTGAGTCTGTTGACAGCATCGCAAAGCACAATTTGACTTACAAAAAGACAATGCTTTGTATTTGGTGGGACTGTCATGGTATTATCCACAAAGATTATCTGAAAAAAAGGTAAAACCCTTGACTGTAAAGTGTACAGCAAGATGCGAGTTCGTATTGACACTGCTATCAAGGGAAAACTTTGAACTGAGTTCTGGTGCAAAAAGGTAATTTTCCATCAAGATAATACAAGACCACATGTGTCTGCATTCACAAGCTTCTTTTGCTACACCCACCATATAGCCCCGACATCGCTCCTTCAGACTTCTACCTTTTTCCACACCTGCAGCTATATCTTGCTGGTGCTACTTTACATTCTACACAGGACATCTGAAATAGAGAGGTTGATCTGTTTTTGGAGTCACGGCCACCAAGTGTCAAGGCCGAAGGCTTTAAAAAACTACCAAATCGTTGGCAGAAAATCATAGATTTGGGTGGTGATTACTACCCAAATCTATGATAGCTAAGCACTGAGAAAGTACTGTTTCATGTTTTTTCTCAAACTCTGTTAAGAACGTCTTTTGGCGGAAAACTGGAGCAGGGGAATTTTAGCAGTTTTGATATTTCTTTAACTTATTATAATAATTTTACAATTACCAAATATTTTTACACAATGTATCAGAAAATAGATAAAGATAAGGCAATGCTGTCAAAGAAAAAAATGAAAACATTTCAATTTATTCTTTTTATAACAGAAACATACATTTTCCTTGCTTTGCATGTGATGCTGTCATTTAGTCTCTTACTTGTTTAAAATTTTCCCATTGTTCTATGTCTTAAAATTAGAAATTAAAGTTAATGACCTAAAACTGCAATAGTATATTACAGTAAAGGTGAAAAAATTGACAGTTTCACTCATGCGTGTGTCAGATTTGCACAATACTTATGGGGGGGTCCCACAAAATTTTTGTAAAGGGCAAAGGGGTTGCGAAAAAATCTCAGTGATAAAAAGGGGCGGTCACGACTGAAAAAAAGGCTTAAGAAACCCTGCCATACAGGATCCAGAATTACAGACAAGGCCTGTGAATGGCCAATGTCAAGGATTTAACCCTTTGTGAGGCACACCTAAATATTTCCTTCTGTATGCACAGAAAAATTCAATGAAAAGGGATTTGAAGGTTACTATAGGTTACTCTGAGTCTTCTTTATTTATAGTAGATGGCAGCTCAACACAAACCAGTCCATATATTTTAGCCATTTTAGTTTTTAGAACCTCATTTTTCAAAGAAATCTTTTAGATTGTTTTTAAGGTATAAAAGGAATTGTTTGAAAGGAAATTTTTTTTGTTATTTATTTATTTATTTATTTATTTATTTTTTGGCTGTATGCTAATCTCCTTATTCTATATTACTTTTCAATTTTTTATCCAATGTTGAGGAAGTCACGAAAGACCAGTTGGAATATGGCAACATTAACTCCATATCTGATTTCATATAATCTTCAAACAGGAAACCTACTAGACAGGACATTTCGATCTATAGTCCTATGACAAAACAATATTGGTCTCTCTGGGACTCACTCTATATTTGAAATGGTGTCTTGTACCAAAAGTTCAAATTGGATCATGGAAAACTGTTCCAAAGGTAGCTGATACTTCCATGATCTCAGACGTTCTTAAAGAACTACATAGCAGCTAGACAGGAGGTCACTTCAAAATAATGAAAACTTTGCATACAGTTTAATAACGCTTCTACTGGAGTAGTGCGAGGGTTTGGATGTGCAAAAGTAGTGCCAGTCCTGCAATGCTTGTGCGAGTCAGTAACAATGATCGAAGAAATGCAGCCAATAAAGTCGCAACATTACAATATAGAAGTGCCTTTTGAACGCATTGTGTTTGACATCCTCAGAACTCTGTCACGAACTGCTGATGTCAACAAATACATCCTCATAGTCATTGATTTCTTCATAAAGTGGCCTGAAGTGTATTTTAACCCTGATCAGGAGGCTGTCATGGTAGCAGAGGTAATAGTACTGTATTTCCAGGTTTGGAATGTCTCTTCAGTTATATTCTGATCAAGGAAGAAATTTTATCTTGGCTGTAATTAAAGAACTCTGTAAACCACTCAGCATAGACAAAATCCAAATGACACCTTTACATCCCCAGTCAGACAATATGGTAGATAGGTTTAATCAAATAATCCTCAGTAACTTCTAAATGACGGTTTCCACCATCTGGGACTTCGGTGGCATCAAGCTAAAGCTCACTGGACGGCAGAGTGGAGATCTGTTCCCTGCTCATTGCAGGACAGAGTTCTCAGATGAAAACTGTCTCTCTTGGTGCCAGTGATGGCTATATGCTGCTTAGAAGGAGGTCAGGTGAATATTTGGAATCAAGCACTGCAGTATAGATACACCGAACTACACCAGGAGTTATGGTCAAGGGGCAATTTCCCATCAGAGGAGAAGCATTCTCATCACTATCCTACATGCCTTGGTAGCAAAGTGGAACCTCGAGATACACCTCTACAAAATACAAGAAATTCGAAATACGAGGAAAGTATGAGCAAAATATTTGTCTCTAAATATGAGCACTGATTCGAGTAACGAGCCAAGTTGTTGGTATGCGTGGCACGTTTCCTGATCCAGCTCGATTCGAGGAATCCCCTCGTCAGATCATTCAATGTTCTTCTATCTCCATGTTTGCACGCTTGGGACTTGCATTGTTTTTTAAGTTTAACATGAAAATAATTATTTTGTAATACCTCCCAAGAAGACTGCAGGCACAGATAGTACTACAAAGAAAAAGAAGGAAGCCATGCCCTTGAAAGTAAGAAAGGAATCATAGATACACATAAGCATGGTGTATGAGTGACAGAATTGGTGAAGACTTTCAGTTCGACATCGACGATTTGCATTATTCTGAAGAAGGAAGAAATTAAGAAACTTGATGTGGCATAAGTTACCGTTACATCCAAGCACCATCCAAAACTCCTAGATGTTGAGAAGCTGTTGTTGGTGTGGATTATCGAGAAGCGGTTAAAAGGTGATTCGGTGTCAGAAGCTATCATTTTTGCTAAGAATCTGTATTTGGACCTTCTCCAAAAAACACCAGGTCTTGTTTACCAGTGTTATTTATTAGGAAAATTGATTTATAGGTTGATATTTTGGGGTGTGCGGAACGGATTAACTGGATTTCCATTATTTCCAATGGGCACGTTTGTTTCTAGATATGAGAAATTTGCTATACAAGCTCAAATTAAACTCGTATCTCAAGGTTCCACTGTACTCCAAACTGGTGACTGAGCTGGCTGTGCTGCCATTCTTGAACAGTATACAAGGAGGCATAAGGCTCCTCCCAATACCACTACTTATTACAAAACATACTCTAGAGAGGGGTGATACGTTGTCTTGGCTTGCGAAATTACTTGATCTTTCTCCTATCAAGCATGTATAGGACATGACTAGACAACAAATCAACCATCATCCACAGTCAACATGGGCCACTTCTGGTATGACTGGTCAAGTGCAACAGGCAAGGAATTCCATCTCACAGAATAGCAAACAGCACCTTCTTGCATGTTTGCAAGCTTGCATTGATTATTAAGACAACTATAGAGGTTACTGTACCACAATTTCCACATTTGAATTCATATGAAAAACTGTTCACATTTCATATTTGAAACCACTAAAGGTTAATGTATCCCAATTTCACATTCCAAACAACTCTTTTCATGTACATTTTGACCTGTGACCTTGAAAGAAACATTAATTAATGTTACATAGACCAGTGGTCAGCAAACTTATTAGCCAAAGAGCCAAATATGAACATTACAATTAAAAAAAAATGGGGGCCAAATCTGCTTGTTTAGTAAACTTTTATTACACTAAATAAAACTAAATTTAATACTTAATATTTATTAATGCAAAAAATGTGCTTGCATCTCTTTGGAAAGTTTGAGTAAGTCAGGTTTGTATGTTGTTGTTTTTAATTTTAGGCATGATTCCAAGTTCTCATCAATAAGGTGACTTCTCAGTTTACTCTTGATAATGTTCATGCTTGAAAAAGATTGTTCGCATATATATGTAGAACCGAAAAGAGAAAGAATAGCAAACGCGAGCTTTTTCAGCTGATCGTAAGAGTCATTAATGCTATTCCAAGCGTTGAAAATGATCATGTCTTCCTTCTCCAGGTCATTCAAAGCAGACCACTTGTGTTGTGAACTAAGATCACATTTTTTCTTCTCCAATATTTCCAATTCAATACAAAGACTTTCGAATTTAGAGCGCCATATCTCCTTGTTTTTTTAAATCCAGCAATTGTATTTCAAAGCTACCAATGTCAATTTCAAAAGAGAAAATTTCAACTCGGTTATTGTACCATTAAGAGGATTTTTGACAAATGCTAAAGTTGCTCTGCTGTTTTTAAATTCCTGAAACATGCTGAGAAATGCTTCCCTCATATTTAAAATTATTGTTTTAAAATGGTGTTTATCAATAGAGGAATTATTTTCTTGGCGATGCTTCAGCAGGCTCGGAAAGTGAAACAATGTTTCCTTTCAAAATCCTGTGCAAAAATGGATAATTTGTTTTCGAATGTTATTACTTCTTCTAACACCGAAAACATTACGTTTCCTTTCCTTTGTAGTTTACGATTAAGCTGATTTAAATGAGACATAACATCTACCATGAAGTAAAAGTTTTGAATCTACTGATCGTCTGTTAGTTCTGGATAATGAATGCCCTTCTCAAGGAGAAATGCTTTAATTTTAGGAAAAAGGGACGTGAAACGTTTTAAAACGTTCCCTCTTCATAACCAACATAATTTGTTATGAAGCAGAAGATCAGCGTACTCACTCTCCATTTCAAATAAAAATTCTTTGAAATGGCGATGATTAAGAGCTTTAGCTAAGATGGAGTTGATAATGTTAATCACTAATTCCATAACTTTACAATTTCTTCCGAAAATCTTTGCGCACAAAGCGCTTCTTGGTGAATGATACAATGGTAAACAAGTATCTCATGATTAATTTTTTCTTTCAAAATAGCAACAACCCCTTTTCTTACGCCGGTCATACTTTTGGCCCCATCTGTTGAAATCGACACAATTTTAGCGAGGGGAATATGATATTTATCCATACACTCAATTACAGCATTGGCGATGTTCTTCTTTAGGGCCTGAATGAGACAAAATCTTACAAAAAGTGAAACTTGTGCTGTATCATTTATGTCACAAGACTCGTCACAAGACTTTATAAAGCCGAAACCAATTTCAGATCTTCGATATGCTGGGTGGTTATATTATACTCCAAAATACTCAAGAATCATGCTATGAATGTCCATGCTGCCTCGCAAATATATTTTCAGTAACAGAAATAAGAATATGTGAATGAAGAATTATGAAGAGATGGAAAATATTAACAAAGATAAATTTTCCAATTCATCATTTTTAAACATGAAGAGAACTTTTAAACCAAATAATTATTCTTTTACTTCTAAGCACATAGTAAGTAGTAGAACATATTATACTAGAACAACAGAACATTAAGGAATTTAAGATTTAAAAAAAAAAAAAAAAATCTATCAGTTGCCTGACAGTTGCAGCATCTCAAAATTTCCTTCCAAAATATAATTTATACTACTCACCTGCTTAAGGCCTCGTTGTGTGAGAGCTGAACATTCAAGGTACTTAACAGCCCTTATTTTTGAAGCCAGTTTTTGACCTTGCTCTCTTTTGATTGGAGACAAACCTTGTTCACTTAATAATTGTAAAGTTTCTTTATCTTCCCGCAGGTCAATTTTTGTTCCTGAAAGTTTTATTATTATTATAATTATTATTAATGCTGTAATGACTTTTTATTATGCATAAAATATTCAATGATGGCTTTAAAAAAACATATTAGAAGCTCATACAAAACTGTTAGATATTTTGAATGACCACTTCATCCAGCACAACTTTCATAAAGAAATAATTCACTGCAATAATTATACACATGACAGCATTTCAGTATTACAGCATTAAGTCTGAAACCCAAATGTCTAATATCCAGAATTATTTAATTATCTGGACATCTAGACCAACAGCATCTGTTTTTCCCCTCTCCCTTTTGCAAAATCTTGGAATAGAGAATATAATACTCAAAATAAAACAAGTATGCCAAAAAAAAGTAATCATTCTTCCAAATAATTCCTGCACATCACTTACAAATATCTGTTAGGAAATCGCACCCTGACCAATGGCAATAAATTGGGTGTTGGCCCTTGAGTGGTTATGGGGAGTCAGAATTTTTTCTATCTGAACTAAAGAATAAATAGGGTCCATAGATATATTCGTTTGCAGTGGAATGTTGCTTCTGTTTTTTTTTTTTTTTTTTTTTTTTTTTTTTTGGTTGTCATTGCAACAGAAAAGGGAGAGAAAGAACTTCCTTTCCTGTCTACTATGTAAATTGAAAAGTTCAATACAGTCAAAAGTCGTTAATTCGGACACCCATAATCCGGAATGATCTATAATCCGGACCTCAAAGTTAAAAACTTTCTACGCATGCGCCGCGTTGGCACATGCGCACAGGCGTTTTACGCGTGCAAGTAAGACCTTGACTACTGCGCATATGCGTGTGTGCAGAATACGTTTTCGCCTGTGCGTTTAATGTATAACGGACGGTGTAAGCTAAAATTATCTAATTATCTATTTCAGTTAATGTTAATGATTGCGTTGTTCCTTAATCTTCGAATTGGATCCCGCTTATTATTTTTTGCAGACTGTAAGAGCAATTTTATAAAAGTAAACTTGAACTTTTGATTATGTCAAATAGAATTTCCGATGCTGGAACTTCCAAAGGATCTACAAAACGAAAGTATGTTTCGATGTCCAACAAACAAAAAGTGGAATTGCTGCAAAAAATGGATAAAGATATGAAGAATGTGACAGAGAGGTTAGTGAAAACGAAAAAATTTCGATTGACAAGTTAATCGGTATTCTCGGCACAGCAATTAACGGGACTTGAACAGCGGAGCTTTGTAACTGAACAAGAAATTCTGTCTGTTTATAGAATTAAAGAGAAAGTATTATCACATGTAACGAAGCAACTTAAACAACTTACATTGAAAGAAATGTTTAATAAAGTAAATAAATATTAAGCTTTTTTTTTTTTTTTTTTTTTTTTTGTAAATTTTGATACCCTTTAGATCATAATTGTTCTTTATTTCATAAATTACGGTTTCATATTTTTAATTTTAGAATTTCTGCATGCCATCGTACGAAATTTAAACTGATGACCTATAATCCAGAAAAATCGATAATCCGGAATCGCCGAAGTCCCGATGAGTCCGGATTAACGACTTTTTACTGTATTTAAGCCTCACCGATAAACTTTATTTGAAATAATTATTTTATTTTAAATTAACATATTAAACAAGATATTTTATTTTGTTATTAGAAATTTAAAAATTACATCTAACCCTCTAATTATGTCTAATTTAATTACCTAACCTAATCACATCTAGTTTTCCTTTTAATGTTTCACTTACAGAGATAGACAATGAAAAGATACTAATTTGTGCAATCATACTTAAAAAGCTTTGAAAAATTAAGAAAGGAATCTTTCACAAAAGAATTTGAAAATTTCATTGTGATAACTTGGAAATTCGCATACTATTATAAAACACTGCTCATCATTTATGTCTTTGTCACCATACAGGCAAAGAAAAACTTATTTTACTGTAAAATATAACTTCATGGAATTATTTTTATTGTTCTTTGCCGGATTTAAATAAACAAATAAATTTCTTTGGAAATTTGTTTATAGAGGAAAGCCAATTCCCAGAGAGTCAATTAAAGGACCTGAGAAATCTGTATAATTGCACTGTCTGTTAAATAAATATTTCTTTTAATGTAAGGAGTGGAGTTTTACATTTTCATTATTTTTTTAATTTAACAAAATTTGTAAATTTATTCCTAAAAAATCAAGTAATGGAATTACTTTTATTTTCATAAATACAGACAATTTAAATTTGAACCTGAGTAAATAACTGAAATTAAGTTTTAATTGCATAGATTCTACAATGAAAGGCATAAACGTGTTTTCATACTTATTGTGCTAAAAGTAAGTTTAAAAACTATTTTTTATATTAAAGAAATCAAATAATTTATTTCTCTTCAATTAAAAGTATACTAAGGAAAATGATTCTTTAATTCCTGTCTCCTAAAAAAAAACAATAAAATCAATACAAAAGTATGCATTGATGACCTTCTTGACACTTTGCAGTTTGAAATCATTTCTGATTTCAATAAAGAAAATCAAACGAAAACGTAAAAGAAAGTCCACTTTAAAGAAAAAAAGAAGTGCTTTAAAGAAAATACAGCATCAGAGTCTTGTCATCAAATTTTTATATATGAAACTAATCTCATAACTGCATCTCCTCAACATTTTTATTATCTTCAAATCGTTATTTATGCAGCATTTGTGCTCCATTACTGGCAAGTGCCTGATTTGCGCAAAAATAGTACGGCTCTGTGTTGTAGAGATTCATTTAGATTAACACCTTTTTGAAAGTATGCATTGTAAAATATAATGTCTTCCTATTATTTAAATCAAATAAAAAAACTGAAGCATGTTTATATTAAATGAGAAGAATAGCAAGAATGAGTACATCTCATGTTACCTCATCTTTACATCAAAACATGTTTTCCGAATCGCCATCTTTGCTCTGTAAAATCATACTAAAATAATTCCAATGCACAAGTTAAAACATGATTTTGATTTCATTCTGTGTTTGCAGAAATTTATGACTTGCAAAGAATCATCATTGATTTTTCTCGTGCTTCTATATAAAGTTCATGCATCTCTGGTATTTTCTCGACACTAATTGCTTTATTCTTAATAATAATTCTTAAATTTCACTTCAATTATTATACATTAATTATTACTGCTATCAGTCAAGTCAGTATACAAAAAATGTTTACTTGCCATATGTGTTAATTAAATAAAGGAGCCTGTGAAGTTTACTGCATATACAGTTGAGTTTCAATTTACCATACGAGCTACTAAGAATATTTAAGCATTGCTATGAAGGTTACAGTACAGCGTATATTCTCAGAACCCAGTAATACAGATTTTGGTAACAATAACTGTTTTATGAGCTATAATTAATAATTATAAAACAAAACTTAATACTTAAACTTGTTTAAGTATTTAAAACAAGTGATTCACATTAATCATCAAATGAAACAAATTATACGATATTTTTACCTCAATACAATTATTTAAATATATTGAAGTGTGAATTCACATCAACATCCCAATGTGATTTCACATCAACGTCACCATGTGACAACACAAAAAGTCAACACTAAGCCATGCCTATTGCATCACTGCGACATTGAGATCGTCACAGTGTGACACATTTGCAATGTCACAGTGACGTCACTGTGCTGTAGGGTCAGTATATGACATAAAAAGAAGGAACTTATTGAAAATTCTGAGCCCCCTCCACATTTGTAATGAATAACAGAAAATTCATTCATTATGCTAAGAATGATGATAATGACAAAGTGATGATTGAATGAATGAAACCGCATTGCAGCAAGGGCGTGCTATTGGCTCAGAGCAAAATATTTCATGAGAGAATGAATACCACAGAATACCTTGGTGACCTCTTAAGAAAAGGCTCCAACTTGTATCAAAGATTCAAAAGCAATACTAACAACTTCAAAAGTGCAAATGCTGCATGAATGCAAAAATGTAAACAATAGGAAACCAGAAAAATATACTTCTTTGGGTATTTACAGGAGATGGATGTAAGATTTTGGGGATTTTCTAAAATTATCATTCAAATAAAAGAATATGGATGAATGGTTGGTTTAAAAATAATTTCCTACTCAAAGCTCATCAGCATTTCAATTAGTTTACAGGATGATGTAAAAATTGCTCCGATTAAAAGACAGTTGTTCGTCTCATACTTAACTCTATGTTTTAATAAATGATAATATTTCCATCTTATTCCTTCCTCCAAACTGAACATTCATCATTCAGTCATAAATTTTTTGAACAGTAGCAAGACTATTCCTGAACTTTTGAAATATTCAATACAAAATTTGCTTTGTAGAGTACAGTAAGGTTCAGCTTTGTAGAGTTCATAACAGAACATGCCAGAAATTTTTTAAGACTTCATACAACTAATTGACACCATATTTTACAGTAGTGTTGATGATAATAATAGCAGTGAATCTAAAGATTTTTGGATATTACAGGCAAAATGTGAAACTTCCCAATTAACAAAATTTGTAGAGAACAGGGCTGTGGAGTCACAGTCATAGAGTCAGAATCGGAGTTAGGCAGATTTTTGGATTAAAATGAGTCGGAACTGGTGTCACTAAAAAAGCCCTCGGATCCGACTCCAGTTTTTGTTGAACTGTTTGAATTTGAAACGAAATTAAAGTGAATTGAAAAAAAAAAATCTAATGACAAACTAAGTTATTATTTTTATTTATAGACTATATATCTTAATAAATATTTAGTTATTTTCTATTTTATTGACATATTAATAAATAGTATAAGGGAGGAGGACGGATGTGATATTTGCCATTATTCATTCATTTAGTTACTTCTTCATCTCATAGATGGCACTATTATAGCATAATTCACAAGAAGAAAAAGGAGCCCATGGCTGCAAACTGCATGTTGAGTCACCAAATTTGAAACTCAAAAATAAGTTTTTTCATCTCTCTTATTTTTTCATGCACATAAAGGCTACCTAAATGAAAATAGTGATAATCTGTTTAAAAACCTTATTTGTGGGTTATTTTAAT